GATTAGATGGGTAGATGATTAGATGGATGGATAGATGGATGGATGATTAGCTGGATGGATGGATGAATGGATTCTTGGAAAAGTCTTGGAAAATGGCAAGCATGGAAAGTGCCCCACTGATAACTGATGTAAGTGTTGCCGAGGCCACCATGCGCTTTGTCCTTTTGACATCTGTATAAAGTGTTCACGAATGTGGGAGTTACTATTATTTACAAATCAATTACCTACTCCAAATCCAAGCAAAAAAACGATATATACGAACAAGAACTTCAGAACGTCATGCAAAATGACCTGCAAAGAAAGAAACAGAATTCAAGCATAAGGTGCAAGCACATATTCACTGTACGCTGATCTTCCTGCTTCCCACCCTCTCCCAGCCCCTACCCTAACCATCCCTTCACTTGGGCCACTCTCCCCTGCCCCAGCCAAATCTTCCTGATGTTCCAAGGCTCAGCTCTGGATCCCGCCTCCTCCAGGAAGCCTTCAGTTCCTGCTCCAGCCCCAGGTTCTCTTCTCCCTGTGATCTGCCCTGTACCTTTCACCACAGGTTCTCACATCTGGAATCCTCACACTTCCTGGGGGCAGTGGCATGCTGGAGCCAGCTCAGAACAGCTCGCAAGAGCTGAGAGTTACATTTTCCTGAAGTCTGTGAGCTGGTTGTTAAACACAGCCATTACTCGGAACTAAATCAAACTTTCAGTTAGAAGATAAGTAAGTTCTGGGGATTTAATGTACAGCACAATGACTATAGTCAGCAACACTGTGCTGTGTGCTGGAAATCTGCTAAGAGAATAGATCATACATGTTCTTACCGCACACAAAGAAACAGCAACTGTGTGAGGTGATGGGTGAGTTAACTAATTGAAATTGGAAATCATTTCACAATATATACGTATATCAAATCCTTGCATTGCAAAAAAAAATTAAACTGTATAAACTTACAATTAAATAAGTCATATTTTTTTTAAAAAGACAGGCCAGGCACAGTGGCTCAATCCTTAAGACAGTGATTGAGAAAGTGTTAATCCAGATCACATTTTTAAATCTGTTCTGTCTGCAGCCTTTACACCGTGTACAGCACACACATATCAATAAAATATTCTTCCGGTGTTTGCAAACTATCATCCAATTCAGCAAAGAAGTTGCTCACATCATTGATAAACAAGTAAAGTTCAACATAAATCTTAACTGTTTCACTTTAATCACTGCTTATAAAGAAGAATAGCAACCAACATTCATGTCTGAACAGTACTCTTCTGTCAATTGCAACTAAAGGTTGACGACAAAAACTAGAATTCAATAAAAAGCAACAAATCAGCCAAGCGCAGTGGCTCACACCTGTAATCCCAGCACTTTGGGAGGCCGAGGCAGGTAGATCACCTGAAGTTAGGTGTTCAAGGCCAGCTTGGCCAACATGGTGAAACCCCATCTCTACTAAAAATACAAAAATTAGCCAGGAGTGGTGGCGCACGCCTGTAATTTCAGCTACTCAGGAGGCTGAGGCGGGAGAATCACTTGAATACGGGAGGAGGAGGTTGCACTGAACTGAGACTGGGTCAAGACACTCCAGCCTGGGGGACAGAGCAAGACTCAGTCTCAAAAAAAAAAAAAAGGCAACAAATTATTCTGAGACTCAACTGGCTACGTGGAATTTACAATAAACTGTATTGTATATTTTCATTATTTGCAAATTGCATGATAGACATCCTTTAATAGTAAAATGTACGATAAGTTTATGTGTATACATACACACACCTATATATACATATTCCACCTACACACACACACACACACACACACACACGCACGCACGCACAGAGTGGTTGTTAAATGTTTACCAGCACGCCACTGCCCGGGGGTGAGAACATTCCTCCACAAAGCATCCCCCTCCCCGGTGCCCCACAAGCCTGGGGGATTTAAAGTCTGGACGCCTAACACGGCATTCGGGAAAAGGAGCAGTGGCCGCCCCTCGGTCAGCCCCTCTGCCTGCAGGTCCCAGTGTCCCCATCTGAAAAGCGGCCGTCCTCTGAGGGCCCGCCCAACGCACCTTCTGGATCATGACACTGTACATGCCCATGGACTGGAATCCCCGCGTGTAGTAGAGCATGTTCGCCCAGCCCAGGGCCATGGCCAGCACGAGGCAGGCGAGGTACTCTTTGTAGGCAAACAAGTACAAGAAGACAGACAGTATCACAAGCACAGCTTGAATAAAACTGTTCAGGAGACACAGGAGACACCAGCCTTACTTACGATTCCTCAGCATCAGGGCAAAGACATGCACATCCCCAAACCTCTCCTACACCCCTGAACAGTCACCCCGGTGACAGGCACTAAAGAGATGGGTATCAGGCTGCCCCAGATCCACGCAGCCACCATACAATTCAGCCTGCAAAAGCATCACCAGAGGCCAGTCACAGCCCGTAGTAGGCTGACTGCAGCTGATGGGGGCTTAAAAAAAAAATACAAATCCACAGGGCCGCAGAAGGTTCTAGGGTACAGCCCAGGAGGCCGTATATTTTTTAAGTTACCCACACGGGCCGGGTGTACTGGCTCACACCTGTAATCCCAACACTTTGGAAGGCTGAGGTGGGGGGAGCGCTTCAGGCCAGGAGTTCAGGACCAGCCTGAGTGACATAGCAAGACCTTGTCTCTACAAATAAAAAATATATAGAAAAAAAATCTAAGTCACCCACAGAATTTCTGATTCCCACATTGATTTGAGAATTTCTAGAGTAGACCAAAGATGTGGCAAATGACTGCATTTTTAACCAAAATGACAAAAACTGCCAACATCTATACTTATAAGCCAATCACAACAAAAGTCCCCCAAACCCTACTTTTTAAATCTTTCTGTGTGCGTGGAACATTGAGTCTCACTCTGTTGCCCAGGCTGGGGTGCAGTGGCGTAATCTCTGCTCACTACAACCTCTGTCTCTAGGATTCAAGCAATTCTCTTGCCTCAGTCTCCTGAGTAGCTGGAATTACAGGCATGCAGCACCACGTCTAGCTAGTTTTTGTATTTTAGTAGAGACGGAGTTTCACCATGTTAGCCAGGCTAGTCTTGAACTTCTGACCTCAGGTGACCCACCTGCCTCAGCCTCCCAAAGCGCTGGGATTACAGGCATGAGCCACCGCTCCCAGCCTCAAATCTCTTTAAAGTATGATATGTGGTAAGTGAAATAAGCTAATCCTAAAAAAACAAGTACTACATGACTCAACATATAAGGTACCTAAAATAGTCCAATTCACAGGGAAAGAAGGAAGAATGGTGGTTACGGTGGGCGGGGGGCGGGGCTCAGATGGAAGCAGAGGAGTAGGGGCTGTTGATTAATAGGTGTGGAGTTTCAGTTTTGCAAGACGAAAAGAGTTCTCGACACTGACTGCCCAACAATGTACTTCACAGTGTTGATTTGTACGCTTCAACAATGGTTACCATGGTAACTTTATGTTACGTGTATTTCACCACAATTAATTTTTTGTTTTGAGATGGAGTCTCCCTCTATTGCCAAGGCTGGAGTGCAGTGGCGCAATCTTGGCTCACTGCAACCTCCACCTCCTGGGTTCAAACGATTCTTCCTGCCTCAGCCTCCCAAGTAGCTGGGACTACAGGCACGTCCCACCACGCCCAGCTAATTTTTGTATTTTTAGTAGAGACAGGGTTTCACCATGTTGGCCAGGCTGGTCTCAAACTCCTGACCTCAGGTGATGCACCCGCCTCAGCCTCCCAGAGTACTGGGATTACAGGCGTGAGCCCCCATGCCTGGCTGCCCTGAAGTTTTCTGATCCTCTCCACCGGCATCCATGTGTCTCCTGCTAGGAGGGAGTGGAGGTCCCTGGCGTGTCCCTGTGGCAGAGTGCCTGGGATGATTGTTCAAGGGGAACGCAGCAGTCACCACACAGGACGTCAGCCCCGCCTGTGAGGGGGTAACCAAGGGGCCAGACCTACTTACAAGACAAAGTGAAACCAGGCATCCGAGAGGATGGACTGCAGATCTGAGGGTCTCAGCAGGAAGATGGCAATGCCCTAGGCCAGGAAGGAGAGAAAAACTGCACCCTCTTCATGGCCCTTGCTGGGGGAGCTGAGCAGGGGGTGCTTCCCCAGGACCGAGACTCAGTGAGGGTTGAATGTGCGAAGGCCTGGCTCCAGCCCAGGTGACGGATAGGTAAAGGGACCTGTGCCTGGTGGGGGGGGCGTAGGCTGCTCCACGGTGAAGGTGGGCGCGCCCTCAAATCTCACCTCCCTCACTTCTTACCCCATTCTCACCCCAGAGCCTGCAAAGCGGTACAATCTACAGCTGCCTTCCATTCCCAAATCCAGCCTCCGAGCCTTTGCTCATGCTGCTCCCCACACCCACCCTGCAGTGACCTTGTCCCCACGGTCCTCATGCCCAATCCTACTCCACCAGAATAAGTGCCATGTCTGCCCTCAAGCATCTCTGCCATCCCCTGGCCCCAGGTAAAAGTCACCTCCCTTCCTCTGAACACTGATCTGAACCCAGCTTAGGGTCTTGTTTGGTCTACTGTCAAGTCTTGATATTTGTGGCCATATTATCTCCCCTACCAGGCTGTGAACTCAAAGAGGGTAAACTCACCCCGTCCCTATCACCTCCTCCAGGGCCACACATATATAGAAGGTGTTCAGATTATATGTGTTGATTCACTGAATGGATGGGTGGATGGATGGACAGATGGACGGACGGACAGACGGATGGATGGATGGATGGAGGGAGGGAGGGAAGGAGGGAGGGATGGAGAGATGGAAAGACGGTTGGATGAAGGATAGAAGGATGGTCGGTAAGGATGAGTGGGCATGTGAACGGATGAATGAGTGGCTGGGACCATGAAAGAGAGCAGGTGATCGGATGGGTGACAGGGGTGGGAGAGGAGGATGGACACTGAGGGCTGGGAGGATAGATAAATGGCAGATAGTTGGACAGATGGATAGAGAAGTAGATGGATGGAGTAGGGAGGATAGGCCAGCCTTATTCATTTGTTCCTACAACTCAGAGAGCTCAGGCTTGGGAAGGAAATGCCTCCCCAAAGCTCCCCAGCTGTAATGGCAGAACAGACAGGGATGAAGGCCAGGCATGCTGCCACCTGCCCACCTTGAGGGGCGGTCCGGAAGGGCCGAGTGGCCACTCACCTCTTTCACAGAGATGCACGTGGCCCAGATGAGTACAAACATCCTCCCCAAAAGCTGCAGCCACCCCATCTTGTGGGTCAGGGCCAAGGGGTGCGGGAGGGCCTGGGAGGAAGGAGGAGGGGTGGTCAGAATAGAGAGGAAGAAGGGTCGAGTTGGTCCCAACACTAGAGGAGTCAAAACACAGGAAAAGTGCTCAAGCCAGGTCAGAGGCCAGCATGAAACCCGATCTCTTTACAGGTCCAGAGAAGGAAGAGCTGCTCCCTGACCCCTACCCTCCCCACCCTTGATGGAAGCCCAGATCTCTACAACGAGGAGTATCATCCAACCAGTGCTAAGCACCCTCATGCTCTACTGCAACAGTCTTTCCAGAACCCTCCGTATCCAGACACTCAACATGGCCTCACAGCACAGTTCAATAAAGCCGAGGCTCCGTGCCCCGTGTGATGGAAGGGAAACTGGGGCCCAGCAGGCAGGGAGCGCTTAGCCCCCTCCCATTTCCTGCGGCCCTCACAGCAGAAACACCCAAACAGTTCTATATTTAGACAGAGACCCCGGGCAGGTCCTGAGTCTCTGAATTCTCCAACTTCCCCCAACATGGGTCTACCTGGGCCTCAGCCCAGCCAAGCACTGGAGACAAACTCAGCCCCTCCCTGGGGCTCAGTTTCCCCATCTGCACGTGGGGCAGCTCCAGCTGTGCCCGCCCCCTCTTCCCCCTGCAAGGGGCCCACGTACCTCGTCCTCCCGGGGGCGGTAGTATGAGACCAGGGTCAGGGTGATGTTGTAGAAGAAGTAAAAGCAGAAGGACAGAAAGAACATGTACTTGGCAAACTTCTTCCACTTCATTCGTAGCAGCGTGTGCAGCGGCTCCAGGGTCAGCATCTCGTGCCGGTTCTGGGGGGAAAGGCCAGCAGTCACATGGAGGCGAGGGAGGAGGGGGCACCGAGTTCAAATGGCCCATGGGAGCTCCGAGTCAGTGCCACCCTGGAAGGGGCCATCATTACACCCGGTGGACCGGTTTGGCCGGAAATGCTGGGAGGGTGATGCCAGCTCCTGAGGTTCCTCCCCAGGGTGCTCGGGCAGCAAAGGCCCCCAGAGCCCGGGTTCCAGCAGGAGGACCCGAAGCACAGCAGAAAGTGAAGGCTGGAAGTGGGCAGGAGGTGGTGACAGCAGTTCCAGCCCCAGTTTGCCCCTCCTTCGCTGTGTGACCTCAGGACAGCCTGACCCTCTCTGGGCCTCAGACTCCTCACCTATACAACTGGGAACAATCCCTGCCCTGCCAGCCAGGCTGCTGTGAGGCGCTGGGAAGACCCAAGGCCAGGAGACTCTGGGAAGCACGACTCTTGGTAAAATACAAAGGAGGAAGGCCCAGCCTGCTGCCCCGCTTCCCCCAAAAGCTGAACACGCTTCACCTGTTAGAGTGGACAGGTCCTCCTGTTCACAGGAGGAAGACAGTGTCCGAGGCCTGGTCTCACCAGACCCAGGGGGTTCCCATCCCATCGGTCAGGAGAGCTCAGGCAGAGAGCTCCTAGGGATAAGGCCAAGTCTCTTTGTCCCGCACCCTAGCCTATAAACCCTACAAAAAGCCCCAGGACAGGGGCCAACCTGGGCAGCATCCAGCTGCTCCTCTCTTCACCTCCATTTGCACCAAACTCCTCCCACTAGCCTTCTCCAGGAAGGCCCCCCTGATTTCTCCAGCAGTGCACTCTCTGACCCTCATTTGGGACCAGTTTTTGGGAGAGAAAGCATCCTACGCCTGGCCATATACACCAACAGGGGATGGGAGAGACACAATATGTAAAGGATCAGCCCCAACCACCCCTTCACCCACACCCACACTCACACCCACACCCACACCGCCCTGGATACTGGGTCCAGAAGACCCCCCCCAACCACCACCACTCAGGTCTACAGTCCAAGGTCAACCAGGAAGAGTCGGGCCCAGCATCTGTGCCAGGCCTCCACTTTCTGTGCCTGACTCTGACCACTAAGGCAAAGGAGCATGGGAGGCAGACACAGCGGGGAGGGCTGGGAGCACTGGGTCTTCCCAGCATCTGTGAGCCCCCGGCCTGAAGCCCAGCCCTCAGTTCCCTGCCCAGCCTGCCCGGGAGACCCACGTCGATGTTGGTGTTGTAGACAGTGATTTCCAGCACGGAGTTGTCTGTGGTGGTGTCCACGTTGGTGAGGTCGTACAGCGAGGACGACACGGGTCCATACGCCCAGTCCGTGAACTTCCTGGACAGGCTTCGGAGCCGCTTCTCCTTGATCTCACGACTCAGGATGTACTTCAGGATCTAGGACGGGACGAGGCACAGCTGTCAGCTGCAGAACAGGGGCCGGGGCTAGCAGAGCTGGGCCAGCCAGAGGCGGGCTGGGCCCACAAGATACTCCCAACCCAGGACGGGGGGAGATCTGCCTCTACACCTGGCGCAGTGACCCCCGGGCCCCATCTTTATCTGTGGAACACGCACGATGTTTGCCATTGTGCCCATCTCACGGGAGGTTGTGAATGCCAGGGAAAAAAGGTGGGAAGGTTCTTTGCAGGCTGCAGCAAGCTGCACAATCAGCTTGAAATCCTCCTACCAGCCGCAGCCCCAGTTCAGTGAAAAATGCAGGCACTGATGATTTCTTAGAACCAATTTCCATTTGTTCTGGACTTGAGAAGAAGCCAGAAGTCTTCCCAGCTGCCCCAGTCCACCTCAGCCAAGACCCCTCCAGCTGCGGCTCACCACTCTGGCCAGACGGGTGGTGATGATAGGCACCACCCCTTACAGGGAGGCCCGTGGGACTTTGGTAGGTCAGTGATCTTCAAAACTCTGCTCCGTATTAGGGTCACTGGGAAACTCGGAAATACCCACAGCATGGCCGGGCGCAATGGCTCACGCCTGCAATCCCAGCACTTTGGGAGGCCGAGACGGGTGGGTCACTTGAGGTCAGGAGTTCGAGACCAGCGTGGCCAACATGATGAAACCCCATCTCTACCAAAAATACAAAAATAAGCCGGGCGTGGTGGTGCATGCCTATAATCACAGACTCAGGAGGCTGAAGAAGGAGAATCGCTTGAACCTGGGAGGTGGAGGTTGCCGTGAGCCGAGATCACACCACTACACTCCAGCCTGGGCGATGAAGTGAGACTGTCACAAAAAAAAAAAAAAGAAAAAAAAAAGAAGCCACACGCAGCAGCTCATACCTGTAATCCCAGAACTTTGGGAAGCCCACAAGGTCAAGAGATGGAGAGCATCCTGGCTAACATGGCAAAACCCCGTCTCTACTAAAAATACAAAAATTAGCTGAGCATGGTGGCACACACCTTAGTTCCAGCTACTGGGGAAGGCTGAGACAGCAGAATCACCTCAACCCAGGAGACGGGGATTGCAGTGAGCTGAGATCGCGCCACTGCACTCAAGCCTGGCAACAGAGCAAAAGAGACCACAGCATCAGCTAATGAACTCAAAATCTCTAGAGTGGGACCTGGAGTCTATTTTGTGAAGCTTCCTGGGTGGATCCAAGTGCAGGGATCGGATTTTGGATGCAGAGCCGCTGCTCTCTGGCTTCCTGCTTCCTGAAAGCTGAGCCCTGGGTCACCCCAGGATGGGGACATGGGCTGCCTGGGGCACCAACTCAAGACCCAAGAGGAAGGGACTGCTGGGAAGGACAGCGTCCAAGGCCTGGTCTCAGCTGACCCAAGGGATTCTATCCTGTGTGTCATGAGAGCCCAGCCAGAGAGCTCCTAGGGATAAGGCCAAGACTCTCTGTCCTGCACCCCAGCCTGTAAAAGCCCCAGGACAGTGGGCAACCTGGGCAGCATCCAGAAAAGTTTTCTGGAGGACATGGAACAGAGGAGGGGAGCAGGGGACAGGTGCCTTCCCCAGGCTGGCCACAGCGGGCACACTGTCCCCTGGAGAACAAGGGTGTCCTGGGGCCGTGCTTCATGCAGGAAGCCTCCTCCCTGGGCTGGGGCAGCAGGGACAGCACACACCACAGTGGCACACAGGGAAGCCAGCCTTGGAGAAAGCTCCATCTGCAACCACAAGCTGACTCCTCAAAGCCTCTGCAAGCCGTGGCCCTGAGGGTGGGCAGGAGGCTCGGGGAGGCAGCCACACAATCCCTCCTCTGTTGAAGCTGTTCTCCAGCTCCTCCTCCCCCACGGGGGAATAAAAAGGGCCCTTGTGGGGCCCAGCCCTGGCCACTTGGGACAGGACCAAGGCCCTCAGGGCAACTGACAGGGGTGGGGGGGGAGGGTACCCCGAGGCTGGCACCGCTGTGATTACACAACAGCCACCACCCCGCAGCGTCCTCCTGTGGCTTCCAGGGAGCCACGGCCTCCTCGCAGAGGGCAGAGACAGCGAGGCTGAAGAACATGCTCGGTCCCCAGGATCAGTGCCCCAGAACATGAGGCCCAGCCATGATGCCAGCCCCTGAAAGAGATCCGTCCAGCCCTGCTCCAGCCTTCACCAAGGCTCCCAGCTAAGCCTCGACTTCTCAGCCGCGTCACACAAGGCAAGAAGGGCCCGAAGCAGCCACACTGCTGAGGACGTGACACGGAGTTCCAACCCGACAGCCAGGCTGGGGTCTCTCCATAACTGGGAAATGGCAGCCCATTGGTTCCGGGCCGGAGCAGCCGTCCTGAAACTCACGAGGGGCAGAAGTCCCCGAGGGCCACCCACTCAGCCCTGCGGGGGCTACGGTGTCACCTCAGCCTCAAGCTCCCCCAGCGCAGCCCTTCCAGGGCAAGGGATAGAAACGCGGCGGATTGGGGGCAGAAATGTGGGGATCGGATGCACAGGCCGCATGGCGCCAGCTCCGAGGGGCCCCTCAGAACAAACCCACCACGGCCGCCACTGCGTTTCTGGACCTCAGGTTGGGACCTTCCCAAGCCCGCGGCTGTGCTCTGTGGATCCCCGGTCGGAGGCCCCGGGGCTGAGGGAGTGGTCGCTGTGCCTCCCGACCCCGCCTCCCGCGCTCCGGGCCCCGACTACCACTCATCGGGCTCCGCCCCCGCGCCCCCCCCCGCCCCCCGGCCCCCGCCTACCGCCCCCCGGACCCCGCCCCCCGCGCTCTGGGCCCCGCCCCCCGCGCCCCGGGCACCCCGTCACCGCGCCCCGGGCCGCACCTCTGCCTTGCCCATCTTGGCCGCCAGCTGCAGCGGCGTGAGGCCGTCGTTGTTGCGCGTGGTCTCCAGCTCCCAGCTGCCGCTGCGCCGCAGGATCGTGTCGTACATGCGCTTCACGAAGTCGTTCTGCGTCTGGAAGTCCTCGGCCACGGTCACCAGGGCGTGGAGGATGTTGTTGCCCCGCGAGTCCTGGGAGGCGATGTCGGTGCGCTCGTGCTCCATCAGCAGCTCCACGATCTCGGGCTGGTTGGTGCACGCCGCCAGGGCCAGGGGCGTCTCGCCTGGGGGAGGAGGGCGCCGAAGCTGGGTTCTGGGTCCTTGGCTTGGGCGGCAAGCAGCATCCCCAAGCCCCAGGACTGGGGCCCACATCCTGTCTCAGCAGGATCCGCAAGTGAGGTTCCCTGGTCCTCTCCCCATCTCCTGCTTCTGTGGGGGAGGCTGAAGCAGCCTCCTCACTGGCCTCCCTGCTGCCACCCTGGCCCTTCTGTACGTACCTGCTGGGCACAGCAGCCAGACCAACCTGTTAGCGCCTCCCCCAGAATGAAAGCTCGAGTTCCAACGACACCCACAAAGCCCTGTGTCCTCTGACCTCTCCTCCTCTCCCATCACTCACTCGCCCTGACAATGGCTTTCCTCCACTTCCTCCAACATGCGGCCGGCCCGGGGCCTTTGCTTGGCTGTTCCCTCTTCTCGTAGACAGCCAGTCCCTTGCTCCCTCACCTCCTTCAAGTACTTGCTCAAACGTCCCCTTTCAGTGATCCGGCCTAACTGGCTCTATTTAAAACTAAAGAATTTAAAACTATTTAACTCTATTTAAAATTGAACTGTTTAACTCTATTAAAATTAAAATAAGGCGGTGGGTCACGCCTGTAACCCCAGCACTTTGAGAGGCCAAGGCAGGCGGATCACCTGAGGTCAGGAGTTCGAGA